GATCAGGAAAAAGACAAAACTTGTAGGCATACCATAAATCTGAGGCATAGAGCAGAAGAGGGGGAAGGAAGAGCATAAGGGACTATGGTGATGGTCACAGGTGCATGGTGGTGGGAGAATTATGCAGACTACACATGAGGGGAGAAATCAAATATTGTACAAAAACAAACAACAGTGTAAAAAACTAAAAAAAAAATTAAATGCTTTTTAAAGTGTGTATATACACACACACACACACACACACATATATATACTATACATTGTGAGTCTATAAACACACAACTAAAAAAATGTTGTACAGATCAGTTTTACTCGGTGCTTTATGCTGGTATTTTCCTATCTATCCTATTTCACTCTCTCTTTTTTAATGCTTGCTCTAATTCTCTCAATTGGTTCTGAAAGTGAAGAGGGAAGAGTGAGTGAAGGGGTCATGGATATTCAGGGGGAAGTGAAGCAGGAGCTTTTCTTACAGGGATATCTGGCAATGTCTGGGGATATTTTGGGTTGTTACTACTGCCTTATTACTAGCATCTAGCGGGTAGCGGCCAAGGATGCTGCTAAACACCTTACAACACACAAGATGTTTTCACAAAACAATTATACAACCTCAGTGATGCTGAGTTTGAGAAACCTGCTCAAGTTTATTTAATAAGGAAACCATAGATGTAACTGGAACATCAATGGTACTTTAAAAAATTATGAAAGAGGGCCTCCCCGGTGGCGCACCGGTTGAGCGCTGGGTTGCGAGGCTGCCCGCAGCCTCTGCACCACCAGTTCGATCTCCGGCCACCGGGCGAGGGTCCCACATGGCGCGCAGACCTCTCCTGCCACCCACTGCTCCCCTCAGCAGTGTATTTCATCAGTCTGCCTACTCTGTTCTGCTCTCCACTCTGGCTCTGGTGAATTCTCTCACCCTCCCGTGCTTCTGACTGTACCCAGTGCTTGTATAAATAAATAAAATAAAATCTTTTAAAAAAAAGTTAAAAAAAATTATGAAAGACATTTTAAACTTCAAGAGTGATGTCCAACATTAAATTCAGAGATACTATGACACCAGCAATCTAAGACATCTCTTGCCATATAATCCAAAGACAAAAAAAAAAAATCAGTTTGCAATTTTCTAATCAAACACAAAAATGGATAAATGATCAAAATACTGTTATGAAAAGTCAACTATTTTATACGGTGTTAAAAGATGAGTGTTATATAATATACAAATCATGTGAAATCAGTGGATATGACCAATGCTATCCTCCTCTGAAGTCCTATAATACCTAGTGCAATGGGCTTATATTGTTAGTTATTTTATTCTCTCAGTTTCTTGAGGGTAAAAGAAAGTGTCTTACTTGTCTCTATATTATCCACTAGATCCCATTCAACACCTTGCAAATAGGTACTAAAAAAGCATTTGGCAAAACAAAGGGAATAAATTGGTATACAGTATTTATTGAGACACTGAATTACATCTCAAAATAATATCTCAACAAATTAAAAAGTATTATTAATCTTATCCTGGAAACACAAATCTAGTTCAACATGAAGTAGATCCTGGAACAGTAAAACCGGCACAAATGACTATAATACTTGTGACCATAATTATATTTTCATTCAAAACTCTGGAAAAGATAGCTTCTAGAAATCTTGGCTATCCTTGACTATCAAAACATTAAGTAATCTAAAAATGTCTAGAATACTTATTAGTTTACAAATATATGTCTAATTATAACCTTACAATTACCAATGAAAACATTATTATAGTTATAGATAAGGAATTATACAAAGTGATTAAAAAATAGGGCAAAATCATGTAGTTAGTAACTGACAGAGTCAGGATTAAGCACCTCTGACTCTAAAACTCATGTTCTTTCCATAAAACCTCCCTGTTACAGTTACAGAATTAATGACCCAGTCACTCATATATTGTAATTATCATTTGATGTAATTTAATGCCGAGTACAGTGTAGATGGAGGCATCAACTACAAATTGGGTGAAATTCTGTGTATTTGAAATAATGAGATCTAGCCAATGTCACAAATGAATGAAAAAATAGCAAAATTACAAAAAGCATCAATAAAACTAAAGATTAAAAATAAATCCACTAATTAAAATTTCTTTCTTAAAAAACAGAGACACTAATAGTATGGAAGAGAATAAATTTTTTTATAGGCTTAACTGTAAAGTTTGCTATGTGATTGTCAATAGAATTTTACTATTTAAGGAGCAGGAAAGAACCTACTATGTAGTTGTAGCTATAATAAGACACATGTGAGCCTGGAAAGAATCTTTCTCCAATCACAGTGAATGCTGTTGCCTACGTGGGGCTGGTTAACACTTTAAATTAGATTACTTGAAATTTTGCTTTGTCTGTTTTTGAAATGTTGTAACAAGAATGAAGAGGGATAGACGGTGAGAAAATCATCTGACTTATAAAATACATTCTTGGAAGTTCCTTAGCCTAGGATAATAAAACAAAGAGACAAGTATCTTGTAAAAGTTGCCAAATACTTATTAGAATGAAGTCACCACATAAAAATATAAGGAAAAATGACACTAAAAAATTTCTGTAATTATTTTAAAGAATTTTCAAATACTACGTTATTACCAAGAGTGGCTATAAATCATAATGTTGAAAATCTTTAAAGTAACTCATAACCTAATCAGATCAGCATTTTTGCACAAATAATCAAAAATTGTAAAGATCTGAGACATGTCATTTCCTTCCATATCTGACACATGTTTTAATTTTGCCAAAGAGTATTACACAAGATTTTAAGTCAACTCACACATAGCTTTTTATTTCTGAGGGTTTTTTTGAGTGAACACTGGTTTACAACATTGTCTTATGATTTATATTATGTATATTTATAGGATCACACCCTTTAAGTATATGTTCTAGCAACTACTTATGTGTGATTTTTATGAGTGTATACTTCAAACTCCTGAAATAAAGTATAAGCCCTTAGAAGGATACCATATATAAAAATATTGTGAAATTTTTCAAGACTTTCATGGTTTGGCTTGGTGTTTTCTATTTTTATGTGGCAAAACTAGGCATTATTTAGCTAAGAATAGGAGAAGTACATAGCAGAATCTGTAACAAACCTCTAATACAACAAAATGATCTTTTTTCTTTCTTTTATTATTATGATACACTCAAGCAAATGTGGAAAATAACCAAATTAAAGTTTATTAATAACTTAAAGAAGCACTGCAGTTTCTGGAAAATAAAGTTTCTATATATTCTGTAATTTAAAATAAGTTTCTCTTTATCTATCTTTACATTTTAATATAATTTTTTTTAGTATTTTATAATTTAAATGTAACTACTATGACTCTCTAACTTGACTTTTTTTCACTGCATATGCATTTTACTGAGTCTATTTGGTTTACAGTGCTTTTTTACTTTTTATCACTTATTTGTTTTAGTATGCCCTTTTGGCATAAAGATTATTTTAAACCGAAAGCGACTGAGAAGTAAACATAAGAAAAAAATCTGTCCTCCTGTTATTTGCCTAAAAACATATAAAATGATTCTATATCAGCTTCATATCTGGCTGCCTTCCTGAATCCTTTCACAGATTTTACTGGTTCTATAATAAGAAGTGGATTACTCATGAAATGTATCAGAAATTTATGCATGGAGAGAGGGGTTGATACACAAGATTCATGTTAAATACTCATCTATCTGATGTATTTGGTCATATAACAAAATAAATTACAAAAAGATTAAAAAGTTAAAGGTTAAAAGACATAATAATAAAAACATGAACAAGCAAACAGTTCAAAATTTAACTGGCCTGGGATGAATAAAGAGTTTCTAAGAATAAAAGTAATAGGGGAAAAAAATTACCAAAGATGATTTAGTTATATTCAATTCAGTATTTCCAAATGACCAAAGAAAATTAATGGATAAACATCAAAACAGGAACTACATTGGGAATAGATGATGTTAAACAGATAAAATCTTAATCATATAAAAAGCTCTTCTAAATCAGTAAGAGAAAAACTAAAGCCCAAGAGAAAGATGGGCAGAAGAAATAAAAATGAATGGACAGAGAATAAAGCAAACATCAATAAACACAGAAAACATTTAATTGCACAAATTCGAAAGACAAAAGGATAGCATTTTTTGGTGATCTCTGCAACTGGCAAAGATTCAGTGCTTCAAGACTGAAAGTTCTAATAGGAATACAGGATGTTATATCCTTTCTGGAAAGCAAGTTGGTAATCTGAATTAAAAGCTTAAAAGAATCAAAGCATGAATTTATACTTGTTAATACTCAAAGATGTGGGGAAAATATCTATATATATAAAAATAACAATTACAATATTGTTTATACTAGTAATTGGAAGCAACTGCAATGCCCCCTAAAATAGTTTGTGACACTTCCTTATGATAGAATATTAGAGCAGTCATTTTAAAGCATACGTCTAAAGAATGCCTAATGGTTTAGAAAAAGATTAATGATTTGATATTAATTGAAAAAAATTAGAACACAAAAGTACATAGTATGATACCAATTTTATAAATATGTAAAATATACATGTGCAGGGAAAGGGGGAGGAAACACAACAATTGTTAAGAATAGGTGTATTTGGCAGAAAGGATTATGTATAGCTTGTATTTCCCTCTTTACACTATGAGCAATTTTTCAAATGTCCTATAGAATAAGACTATTATTACTTTTAAATGAAAACACGCAAAAATGTGATTTTAACAACCGTCATTAATAAGTACTTGAAAAAATGTCATCAACAAAGGAAGAAAAATTTTAGAAACAAAGTCAAAAGCAATTTTTAAAAAATAAATATTGTCTTCTACATGGACACATCTTTCACTCTTTATAACTTGACATTTTCTTCACATAACTAACATCATTAAGACTTTTTTAAAAAATGTGGTACTATCTATTAGATGTTTAATCAGAAATGTAACCTTAGAAGAAAACTCATATTTAACGAATTACAGGGAGATGTGCGGTCAGGACAGAAGGCTTACCTTTTTCACTTACACTCTCACTTTCAATCTCAACATCATCACAGCTTGTATATTCAGGTGTGGAAGCTAATTCCTCCTCTGAGCTGCTCAATGAAACCTGGCGCATTTTGCCTCCTTTCTTTGATTTATGAGGCCTCGGGGGTGGAGGTCTCACCGACTCTGACTGGTCTGAGCTTAAAGAATCATTCCTTAGCATCGTTTCCATTTTTTCCCGTTTTGTTTTCCTTACGGCAGAACTAGGATCTAAGTGGTGTTGTTTCCTTAGTGAGTCAGTGCGTCTCATGTCTGCTCTATCAATGGGTATTGGACTCCTCCGCGGGGTGGGAGGACTATGGTTTGTGGTCCTTTGTGGATAAGAACTTGGTCCCTGAGTTCGTTCCATTGAATACGATCTCTGATTTTCCATGGCAGCTCTACGTTCAGATATAGATCTTTGCCTTGATGGCCTTTCCATCCTTAATATAGAAATCCTGGAATCTTCCAGTTCGGCATTTGCCAAAGAAACATCACTATGCCTTCTCTCGTGCCTTGCTCGGGACACTTCAGCATGAATACGCATTTGTTCTTCGTAGGGCTGTGGCTTTACTGGATAACGGGCCAAATTTGGATCACTTCTATAGCGAGCCTGGTATTCCTCTTCTCTCCTTTGTCTTTCATACTCATCTCTGAGCTCCACATCCTCATCATCTTCAATATATTCTTTGGAATGCCTATAACTTCTCCTGCTGGAGTCCCTATAATTTATATGATCTGACTCTTCATAAAACTGAGGTTCACGTTGAGATCGCCTGTCAGCATAATCTGATGGAGATCTGGGCATGGCGCTATCCGAAGTAGCATACTGTGAATATTCCTCTCTTTCTTCCCTTTGGTCGTAACTTCTATTCTGATCTCTGGACACTGAGGGACTTCTTTTCCTATGTAACCAAAGAAAAAGAATGATGAGAAGAGCAACATTTAAGCGAGTTTACACTTTACTGACTCACTGACAGGTTGAATGATAAATTCAAAATTTTTTGCTTTTTTTTTAAATTTTACTTTACAGTCATGTCATTTACAAAAATGTTACTAATATCCATTTTATTCAGTTAAAATAGGAAGTTAAAGTGGTACTTTTGAGGTAGTTATTAAATGCCTGACACCTATATATGGAATATACTTACACCTTGAAATTACATAAGCAACATCATAGTCTGCTGCTGAAAAAATAGCCTTCATTCTTTGCTTGGCCCAATACACTATCACTTGACTGTTATTCAAGAGCTTAGCAAACTTCTACCTTATGTTCTCTCAATTCCTGGCACCCTGAATGAAAGTTATTGTAAAAGGAAGAATGATGTGAAATATATATAAAATAAAATATAAAAAAAATTGTAAAGGATAGGATAAACCAAGGAGAGGAAAAAAAAACATAAAGAAGCTAAACTGATGACTCTGTTTTCATTCATTATCTATCTAAATCACTCCTAGCATTGGTGCATTAAGGGATCTGTTTTATGATATTGCCAATCTTTCTTTACTACTCTAATTTGAGCTAAACAATTTATATTAATACCAGCAGGTGATTTATTCATCACAAAAATCTAGGAAGTCACAAAGGATTCTATTTTTAATCCCTCTTAACTAAGATTAAGGCCAGCTCAGTGACACTTCCCTGACTTCACATCAGACCCTTCATATTTCCTAACAATCTATGAGGAAGAGACTACACATTAAGTTCACAACCTGGTGGACCTTGCAATCACACACAATATTTTCTTGATAACAAAGTATTCGCGCCACGCTATTCTGTGGCATGAATTCAGATAATGTCAACCACTACTCATGAGAAGTAAAGGGACTGGAACCCTGAAGATGACAAAAAGGTTGAGAGTGACTACTAGAGTTCTACCAGAACACATGGACAGGAGACAATGATAGAGTAGGGTCAGGGGAAATTAAAGATGACCAACGTAATTGAGTTGGGAATTTCTTAGTATTTTTCTGATGCAAGAGCACAGCAAAGATCCATGCAGAATGACTAGACCTAGCATCACTCCCACTTTCTTCTGGTTTCCCTTGTGTCATGAAACTTCTTTCCCCTCATATCTGGAATATAGTTTGCCAATATATCAACTAGAGTTCATTAATGAAACTAAAAGTTGCTGTAGGTTTTCCATATAGATCAGGTTATAATATAGGAATCTGAATCTACAATACTCTTAAAGGAATAAAGACTAGAGAAGTTAATGCTGGGGATCTTAGCCTGAAGAAACAAAGACCACGGTTCTCAGAATGGTCGTTATGAAGCTGCTGTCAATCTCAAGGGTCTTTAGGAATTTGCCACCAATTACATCTCAGAGGCTTAGCATTAAAGTGGTCAGTTAACAGGGGCTTGACCAGGAGTGACTTAGATTTTTGTATCTGACCATCTGCCTGCCAATGACTAATACTTGATAATGGTTTCTGTATCTCTTATATACCTTCCAACTCTCACACAAGTGGAATGCCAGGGTAAACTCTAACTAGGAACCATAAAGGGAAAAGTATTGTAATAAATGAAGGAGTGGTCTGTTACCCTAAAAGTTTCATGATTAAGCAAGTAGATGTAGTTTTTTCACATTTACATTCTTACATTTATATATAAAACATTTAGGACTTAATCATAAATTTTAATAATCATATAAATTTACTAATTTATAACTAGTCTATAAAACCATGGACTCCGAGCTTAAAATATACAATTAAAATAGAGCACTCAAAATAAATTTTAGAATATTCACCTATAATATATTTTATATATTTATGGTATGCATAATTAATTTTAATGTTTTGCTTTATATATATATATATATCTGACTAGAAGAAAAAAATCACTAGCATGATAGCAATATATCATGATAAACTAGCATTAAGCGATCTGGGTTTCTTGGTACTACTTTGCTATTAAAGTTTTTTGAACCCATGTAGTCATTTAATCTCCAAGAGTTTCTGCTTTAAAAGTGAGAGATAATAGATTACATACATTAGTGCATGTTTTGATTAGGTGAAAACTATTTTAGGTGCTACATGTAACTTTCAGTCAGATCTAGCTATATCAGTACCTACAAATACATACACATGTAAATATAAAATAGACTAAGAATAAAGAAAGCAGTAAGAAGTGATCATTCTTTCTAAGCCTCTCTTCTATTTGCTGGGACAGCGAACTTAGAATCTTGATACCAGAGCTTCATCAAGCTGATATGCCTAAATGAAAACCTGAAGCATAATAAAAAATACTAAGGATTCTCCTGTCAAGTAGTAATTAAATGACTAAGACCAAATTTTAACATACTAATGCCAACATTCAGCATACTCATTAACTGGCTACTTATATCTACTTACTTTACTAAAATATTGAGATTAATGAGAATATCCCCTAAGAAACTCTAAAGAAGAAGCAATTAAATCAGTCCTTTCTTAAACTGACCATCTAGTCTCCATTAGATGCAGACTTTATATCAGAAATTAAATACATTTTGGTATTGCTAAAAATGGTATTTTATCAATCTAAGATTCTCATGTTTCTCAAATTTATATGGTACATAAACAAATGTTTAAATTTCATGTAGAAATTGTTTAAGTAAATTCCAATTTCACTAAAATTCAATTAGGACTGAACAGTCTTATAGCATATATAAGTATATGAATTTTGGACTATAAAAAGGAAAGTAAAATGCCTTTATTAAGTGAAAGCACGGATGGGTGCTTACCACGGATGGTTACGATAAGCTCATCAGTTAGAGCTCACTTTTCTGCCTGTGTATTTCCCCAGAAGATATTTTCACCCTTTTACAATTACCTAACTAGAGTTCTGTACATTCTGTACTGTCCACCACACTCTAAATTTTGAACCAGAGAGGACTATATCTAATATATCTTTGTAGCACCAGTATTAGTCATTCAACAAACATTTATTTAGGATTTACTAACATTGCTAGATATGATTCTAGTTGCTGGGAATACAACAGCAAAAAAAATTCATAGGCTCTCTGCTCTCACAGTTTTCTTTTTAAGTAGGCCAAACAGATGGCAAGCATATAAACAAAAGTAAATTAAGGTAATCCCATATAGTGACAAATATTACCACTATGTTAAAAAAAAAAAAAAAACTGAAGGCGGTTCAAAAATTTTAGAGAGGGTAAAATTAGAAACTAAGAAAGGCTACATTGATTATGGAAGGTCTTTTTGAAAAGGTGTATTTGAACTAAGATCTGAATGACAGAGTTATGCTGACTAGTCCATTTATAAAAAAAATATACAACTTTACTGGAAAAGTTTTGGGTAGTCTGATTAAATTGCTATAATTTTCTTTTAAAATTTTTTTACTCAATGCTGTTTCATAATATATAAACCTGAATTCTTAGTTGTTGTTTCGTTGATTCAAGGATTTTCCAAAGTTATTGATCTGTGCAACCATCTTAAAGCATCTCACTAAGCCTTTCTCCTCACCTCTCCCTTTCAAAAGACTTCATGCTCCCAAGCTAGGCAAATTTCAGTCCTTCAAAATACCTGATCTCAAATGGAACTCAAAGAACTCAAAGAAAACAAGCAGTTTTTACAATATTATCAAAAATATTTATACGCTTTAAAACTGTTAATACAAATAATCTCCAAAATGTGAAACTTAAGGCCATAGAAGAAAGGGAAGCAAAAAATTTTCAGGAAATGTTAAGGGGGAAATTGAAGGCAGTTCAACATAATACTGGTCTTCTTTCTCACTGCACTAGGTAATCCTATCTATTCTACTCGGGGATGTTTATAATACCCTTAAAATGTTAGGTTTCATAAAGACTAGAAACCTGGATCTAAGTAAGTTGGCACATAGTACAGACTCAGCTGAATTTAGAAATTGATTAATTCTCACTTAGATTATCTCTACTTTTTATGGTTTGCTCCTTTATTCTATACTCAAATTCACTGGTTTGCTAAAATATTTCTTTTCTTTCCTCACAGAAAGAAAAATTTCTTTCCTCATGGAAGTAATAGCTTCTTAAGTGAAAGGAACTACTTTTATTAGTAGTGTAATTTTTTAGCTCTATTATGTGTTAATTTGGCTTTTATTGTTGGGCTTCAGAATCGAACTGTTTATTATAAAATGACTTCTTTCACAAAATGTATTTTGAATGTGAATCACTCTATAACTAAACATTTAGAGTAAAACCTCTGTAAATTACAGGGCTCTAATACTATATTTAATATCACATTGTGTGTTAGGGATTGGGGGAGGGGAGAAGCAATTCATTCCCTGAAGAATTAACATGAATTTTTGAAAGAAAGGAGGGCATACATAAAGTGAATATGGTGAGTACAGAACAGGAAATATATTCTATTTATTGATAAATAAGCATATATGCTTTTTATAGCACTCATTTTCAAAAATCGTAAGTAAAGTGAATTCAATAGCAAAGCCAGCAATCACTTTGTTGTAAAGATTATTAAATGTGCCTGAAGCATTTGAATCATACTGTAGATGCTGATTACTGGATTTAAGTGAACATAGAACAGTGGCTAAGATTTCTGAAACTGGGAAGACTATTGTCACTGTTACTTAACATGGAATTAGGTTTTTAAAAACACACTTTAAGGGAGAGTACCTTACAGTATATTAAAGCTGGGCCAGAAGCAAGGAAAGATTTTATTTGGAGAATACTCTTAGCAAACAATGAAGAATCTGCTATCAGTAACTTCAAAAATATGGAAAAAACCTGTTAAAGTAATTTTATCACCTATACCATGAATTATTTCACATATACTCTCCTATAAATTAAAACTGCTGTATTTCTGACCCTCATTTTTCAGGCACAGAGGGAAGTCCAAAAAAAAAAAAAGAGTACTATATCTCTATCATCACTCCTGGCTTTTATAAGAAAGTCTTAATGTTTATTATTGCCAG